TCAGTCAGGCGAAGTCCTCTGGATCCAAGTCACTTAATCTCAAAGAGGCACACTACGACTTGCTTACTCGATGCCTTTCGTGTGTGCAGCTCAGCGTCCAAGAAGAAGTTGATGTCTCCATGGACAAGTTGAGCACGGAGGAGCGCAACCACCTCTTTGATAAGTATGTCGTCTTGGAGTACACCGCACGCTACTGGTTGTCGCACCTGCTGTCCTCACCTTTGGTGACCGATGATGGAGAATTCCAGTTCGACAATAGCTTTAAGAAGCTCCTTCCGGCGACAGTTCTCTTTGCTCGCCTGGAATTGACTTGCCGCGAGTCCCAGTTTACTCGCTCCAGTGTCGTTGAGCTTTACCGGCTTGCGAGTGACATTCGCCGAGTCATTCTTGGAGACAAGAACATGGCCCTGCTGGAAAGCCTGCTTCTCAGCTCACGCGTAGCCAAGCTGGCTCACTCCAGCCATGCCGACGAGCACTGCTATGAAGCGTGGAAGTTGAGCCAAGAGCTCCTTGGACAGTCACACTCGATTACCCTGACATGTTCCGAGACGATGACCCAGTCGTTCTCCGAGCGAGGAACTATGACTGCCCAGCAGGAGGATATCATGAGATACTTGATCCTGACCGACACCGAGATCACTGGCGTGGAGTTCAACCAGCGCCTGAAGTATCTCGGAATTATTGTTGGCATTTACAAGTCTCGCAGCGACAACGACTCTGCCCTGCTCATCTCCAAGCAATTCTACCAGCAGATTCTTCAGAAGTACGGAACAAACTCCCACCAGTCCTCCGAGACTGCCGATTTCTTGACCGCTCAATTCTCTAGCACTGGAAGCGATGAGATGAGCCGAGACATTGCCAGAACGAAGTATGACAATGTTGTTCGCACCATGGAAGTCACCGATGAACGCCGCATAAGCTACACCCTTTACATGGCTCAGTTGTACGAGCAGCAAGGTGACTTTGCTCACTCTCAAGCCGTGCTTTCCAACCTCTGGGCTGGTCTGAATTCGCGCGACATTGACTCTGTCGACATGATGGACAAGAAAGCCAATGTGGCTCTCTTGTACTACCAGTTCCTTCGTCGCCACGGCCGAAATGACGAGGCTGAAGTCATAATTCGTGAACTGGTGGCTGATCTCGAGGTCACTGGTGTCCACTCCTCGGATATGATGCACCGTGTGAACCTTCTGAGAACCGAGACTCAGGAGATGCACTTGTGGAGCCTGGATCGCTCTTTGTCGGTGCTCATGTGGCGCTACTACAAGGAGACCAACCAAGAGTATTCTGAGGAGTCCACTGCGCTGGCCCTTTCAATCGCCCAAAGCATGTCCAACTCTGTATCGATGGAGCAAGCATCTTCGCTCTCCGTCAAAGATCGCAAGCTATTGGTTGAGCTGTTGGATGTCATTTCGGCTAGCTCGAGTAACATGACTGTAACCACTTTGATCATGTGCCACAACCTCTCCAGCATTTACGTTCGCGAGGAAGACTGGGTGCAAGCCAGTGAATGCTCCATGGCTGTCTTGCAGCACATCTGGCCGACTGTCGAGCAGCCCAAATCCCACAAGAGGTTCTCGACTCAGCTGGCACCTCCTGCAGCTGACCTTGCCCTGATCTTGGCTTACTGCCATTTCCGCAGGCTGCACTTGGAACAGGCTACAAATGTTTACGACAATGCTTTTGGGTCTTTGATCTCATCAGAAAGAGTACCAGTTCCTTCTGTCCTGGCCGTCGCCAAGGCTGTGGTCGAATTCTACGAGACTTCCTACCAGTTCACCAAGGCGCTGACTCTGCTCCATACTGTCAGCAACTTCTTGACATCTCGTCTTGGAGAGACCCACAAACATACCATCGACAACATGTACCTCGAAGCTGCTCTGGCAACTCGTCTGGAGATGACTGGTGAGGCCAAGACCACCTACCAGCGCATCTACGATGCCACCTCTCACGAAGGCAAGATCACCCCAGAGGGCATCGACGCTGCCATTGCCCTCATTGACCTTTACGAGGGAGAAATGCAGTGGGACTCTGCCTTGGGTGTCTACCGCTCACTCTGGCCAACCCTTGTTGTTGAGGATAACAAGAAGCACACATTTGACCAGATTCTGGTGGATCGCATGTTGGAGAAGACGTATTCCGGCTACATGTCTATTCTGACAACCCGCAAAACTAAGAGCTCCGAATTTAGCGAGCGATACCAGGTTGCTTCTGACTATGTCATAACCTGTCGCCACGTGCACGGTGCTACCAGCCAGAAGACGCTCAATGCTACTCTGCTGTTTGCTGAGCTGTGCGAGAGCAGCGATTCCCACATTGACCAAGCCATAGCTTTGTACAAGCAGCCTCTGCAGACCAGCGAGTGGTTGGACACTACTCAGTCATCCAAACCTCTTGACCAGATGACCCAGCCCCTGCCAATTACACTCAAGCATAAGCTGGCGCAGCTCTATGTTCGAAAGCATGATTCAACTAGTGACGCTCGCTCTCTCTACACAGAGGAGTTCCAGCTGGCCAAGAAGACCCAGGGCTATTTCTCTTCTACTACCCTATCTTGGCTGCGCGAGCTCGCAATGGCCCACTCGAGACAGGGAACTTCGACTGCTATCCAGCAGGGAAATGCAATCCTTCACACCTTTATTACCGACGTATTGCATGCTGGCGGTGATCCTGACCAGATGGGCGATTGGGCTCGCAAGATTGCTTCAATCTACCTCGAGTGCGGATTCATCGAAGGCGGCAATAACGTGCTCGACGAGCTGCGCCACCGCGTAGTGTACAGTTCTGAGGCCTCAGCTATGGCGCTGCATGACCGACGCGACGCCGTGTTTGTCTCTGCTTTTGAGGAAGTCTTTGGCAGACGTGCTACCCACAGCCAGATCATGACGGAGATGACTCGTGAGATGTCGACTTACCAGGCGTTTTCCAAGAGCCTTTCTGGTCACGACTTCATTCCTACTTTAATCACCGGTCACGTTCTATACAATCTTCAGACCGAACAGAAGCGAGTCCGTGCTGCCGCAGACACCAAGGATAAGTTGTACGAGTACTTCTGCTCCAACCTCTCGGCCACCAGTATCGCCGACAAAGAAATCGTACAGCAGTTCTACCACATCTGCCTGCGTGAGGTCCACGGTGAGGATTATACTATGAACATTCTTAGCAAGACCGCGGATCTCGTCCGCGAATTGTGCAACTCCTCTCGCTTCCAGGATGCGACTATTCTGACAGGCGTGCTACACTCGTTCGTGCACCTGACCGAAGGTCTGAACAGCTACAACAGCATCAAGACCGCCACCCAGATCTGTCTGTACTTAAGCGGCCACAAGGCGACCAAGTGCACAGACGATAAGACCTACCATGGCATGTCAGTCAAATCCAAGATGCTCCTTCAGGAGATTATGACAGCATCCAAATCCATCGGCATCGACATGGTGGACTTGCCATTCAACGACCTGAATGAAATAATCACCCTCCTAGGCGAGTACGATATGTTCGATGAACTTGAGGGAATCCTCACCCAGCTCTGGACCTCTCGTATCGTCCAGCGCACCTGGACACCAGACGTGGTGGTGTGGATAGGCCGCCGTCTCGTCGAAACTCGCTTCTGTCGCGGCCATGTCGACTCAGCTATCCAGCTGTGCCGTGACATTTGCTATAACTTGCGCCAGGTTTGGGGCAGCTGCGATCCTGTCACTCTGGAGATGACCAAGCTCCTCTCTGGTCTGTTCACTGCATCAGATAACCACCAGGCGGCAGCTACTCTCCACGAGGGAATTCTGTACGACTTGCTTGGAGACAACGAAGCAAAGGGCCATGCCCGTGCTGCTGATACCGCTTTGCAGCACATGGAGCTGCTCCGCCGTGCTCAGGCACGCATGGGTGCTGATCAGACTTCGCGCCGGGCCTCGGCTCATGCGGATCTGTTCCAGCAGCTGGGTTCCCGCTTTGGTATTGAGTCTGAAAAGATCCAGAGCGTCGGCGAAGCTCATGGCGGCGAACAATTTGGAATGTGGTCCAAGCCTCGACGCTTTAGTTTGGATGTTGAGGATCTGGAAGAAGAGGGCCAGTCTCACCACAATCATCTTCGTGAGGCTAGCGGTGCTGGTTTGTATGGTAGTGGTGCTCCCAGACGTATCTCGGTGCAGGCTCTCTAAGTATATGCATGGAGCTATATATCCTGTGGTTGGCTTCCGCTGGTGTTGGTATTGGCTTGTAATTACAAGGACCTAAATTGTACACGTCCATAAAGTTGTTGAATTGAATGAATATTTACTTTTGAAATGTACCTGGCATTCAAGGATCTGAGAGTCTGTCGCGGCCTCTAGTTGTATCAGATGGGTGGATGGGCAAAAAGAGCGAAAGCAATGCATAAAGTGGTATACCCGCTATGAGGCTGGCTTTCATGTGGAGACTGTCCAGTATTTCATCAGTGGCACTGTATACACTTTCATGATCCGTGTTGTCGTATATTGGATATTCGATAGATTATTTACTTAACAATGTTAACATATATCCTAGGAGATCTATATACTTGCATTTGGCTAAGTAGACAGATATTCGAATGTTTTGTCTGAAAGGATACATAGAAACGGGTTTTAAACCCCATTCAAATGGACATAGACTTCTCAATAACAAAATTGATAGACATTTAAAGAATAGATGAATGAAATTTGCCTAGAAATCTATTTTATTACGTATGTCCTCCAACGTAAAAATAAAAAGTGTGATCGAGGTCATATAATCCCTCCCTTGACCCTAGTTAGGGTTGCAGAAATTGGATATACCATGCACACACCCAAGACGTAGTTAATTCAGTAAATTGAACTAATAATTACGTTGTAACACTTGGCCGAAGCCACCGGACATTAAACTATGGAAGAGCCCTACGTGCCTCAAGTATCGCCGTGGGACCTTCTTTCCCAAGCCATTTCATCATGTCAACATCTTCGAATCTCAAAATCACCAAGTCTCCAATATCATAGAGCAACACCCCCAAAATGCCCGAAGCCAATATATTTATGGATCTGGCTGAACCCCCTCTATTCATAGATTTGAACGGAGCCCCAATCCCATACCCAGTGATCCTGGGCTACGGCAGTTCATCAGTCGTCATCCAATCCAATGGAAAAGCAGTCAAAACACCCCTACGCCACCCAGACTACCGCGCACGAGAAATAAACGAGAACATAAAAACAATCCGCCTGGAACAAATGGTCTATACCCGTCTCCAGCCAATAGCAAATCAACCAATCTGCCCAGAAGTCCTGAAATGGATTGCATTCACCCAATTCAATATCCAGCTCGAGCTAATGAAAGCCGGTACGCTACGCAACCTCCTCGACAAAGCCTTGATCGAACCACCCGCATCCAAAAAGAAAGCCTGGATGCGCCAGCTGGTCCGCGGCCTGATGTACATCCATTCCTGTCATGTCTTGGTGGTGGATGTCAAGTCGCGTAACATTCTCCTCACTGACGATTTGATGATTCGGTACTGTGATTTCGGGGAGTCGTCGTATATATCTGAGGATGTCAACATGGATACCGTGAATGACTGCGGCTACACGGTCAAGATAGATGTTGCGTTGCTGGGGGCTGTTTTCTATGAGATTGCTACTGGGAACCGGTGTGATGTCGACCTGTACGATCGGGGTGTAAGGCATAATAGGTTGCTTCGCTGGCCGCCACGGTTTCTTTTGCCTGCTACTGCGGGTGTCTTCTATGGGGGTATTATCGAGCGGTGCTGGAGGTCGATTGAGGAGGGTGGGATTCGGAATGCGAGGGAGTTGGATATGGCCTTTGAGAGAATTGAGATTGGGTTGGATAAGAGTACGGAGCCTGTGTCGCTTTGAGTCTGGTTCTTATCGTGTTGACATGTACACGACTAGAATTGGTTTCTTCTTGATGCATGGATGGGCCGATATATATATTAGCCCACGGAACTGTATGAATAGGGCGTTACTAAACGGACCTCGGTTTCCCCCCGAAAGGCCATCGTCTTAATTTGTTAGATACTAAAGCCCCATTTGAAAATAAACAAAAGAAATGGCTTAAGAAGGTGTCGGAACTCCACCGGACAGGCGACGTTAGTATATATACCTTTGAGACGTAGGTAATGCAAGTAGTATGTTTTCCTTAATGTTTACCTGGGACAGGTGTTCAAGGATCTATTGAGTAAAATATGAGGTCTATTTAGTAACGCCGTATTCACAACTCTGTTTTATCAGCAGAAAGCAGTGTGATCAATACCCGATGCACCCATTGATATTATTCCACCCATGCAGGTAATTCATAATAATAATGTGTAATGGCCCTGTAAAAATACACCCAAATCCTGTGAAGGTGGAGGAGGGCCATACCGTGCTCACGCAGAATGAAAGTAGTCAAAGTCACAAAAACGCCAAAACGCACTGTCTATGTTCACATATACCAGCCAAAACTATAGACCAGATGATGAACATTGGAACCACGTCGTCAAGCGGTCAATGCAAAGCTCAGCCCCATCAACCCCATGCCCGCAACGGCAAACCCAATGCCCATGCTGCGGCGGTGAGTGAGACCCAATCCTTCGCTGAAGAGTTGTAATGCAACGGAGGTCATCACCCCGGCCGTGGCTGCAAACATGCCGCCGTAGATACCCCATGAAGGGCCCGTGGCATCACCACTGCCGCGCTGGCCAGTGCTCCAAATCCAAAGTGCGGCTATCCCAGCACCGGCGGGTTGACTGATACCCCCAAGAAGACTGGACCAAAACATGGCTTTCCAGCGGGAGTTCAGAGCAAGATAGAGGGGAAGTGCCATGGCGAAACCTTCCACGATATTGTGGATGAAAAGGGCCAAAAACACGGTCAAACCTAGTGTTGGACTGGCGTGGTTGGTAGCGTATGTGATGAATCCCTCGGGAAGCTTGTGCAGAGAAATTGCGAGCGATGTCTGCAGTCCAATGGAAAGGAACGCATTTTGAGGTACATGGTGGTGGTGGGGATTGCCACCAGCGGCTTTGGGACGTCCAGAATCAACATTATCCCCATGACTACGTGGGTCATCGTGATAGCGTTGCTCGGAATGTGAGGGACGCATATGCTCAGAGTGACAGTCATGGGTTTGAGACGTAGAGGAGGATGCAACGCATGGGTGCAAGGTATGGTGCGCAGCCACGGTATCAAAGTAGCCCGCTTCGGGTTCACCAGTGGTAGTATTGACGCCAACATCAGACTCCCCCTGAGGAATCTCGGACTCCAGCGGCGCAGAAATGCTCTGCCGCACCGGCAGATGGGCCGGAGAGACCACAGCGGCGACCACAGTGGCTGGTGGGAGAACCTTAGTGCACTCGCGGCCGCATGTCTGGGAAACTCCAAAACATGGTCCGTATTCGTCGCAGAGAGGCTTGACGCCACCCATGAGAGCGGTGATTCGGCGTGTTAGCATTGCCCGGACGGATTCGCGCCGTGCTGGAGTAGGTTCAATTTGTTGGCTCCGTTGCACCACCGCCGGAGTTGACTTGAAAGACACTTGCTCAGCAGGTCGTAAGAGCGGTGTTCGCTCCGTATGTCCATTCTTATGGTTATGTGAGTGTTCGTCCTCGACTCGACTCTCCCCGCGCTCGGGATCGTTTTCCGACTCGCCGTGCGTATGTGCGCAGTCCACGACATGCGAAGGAATAAAACGGTGGATGAAGCTGGAGACTATGCGGATAACCACAACTCCGGCGACGAAAAGACCTGTCAAAATATATGCAGATACAGAAGGAGAGAAGCCGGCGCGGGTGAGGTACTCTTTCGAGTTAGGGAGCATGCTATAGAGGGAGGTAAAAAGCTGCTAGATATTAGTTACGAATAATTTCAATCTCATCGTCCAAACTCACCATAACACCAGCGCTGAGACATAACGACGCCGACAGGAAGTTACTGCTGTTGGCGATTTGGAAGCTTTTGCGGTGGGAAAGCGTCTGCACCACGAAGTCGACACAGATGATTGCCGAACCGAGGACGCAGGCTACGAATAATTAGTGATGTTCCGGATAATTCGAGTCGGCAACACTCACCAACGCCTGAGACGGCGCTCATCACCCACCCCCGAATGTCGTTGGCAGCCATGGTGTGGTGGGAGTTGGAGAAAAGGAAAATGGTGATGTAATTTGTATTCAACGGCCGGTAGTTGGCGGTTGGCGGTCAAGCTTCACTTCGCCTCTCTCGACAGGAAGAGAAAACCGAGAAAAGCCATGCTGGATTGGTGGTTTCTCTTACCTGAGCTGCAGGCCAGTGCATTCCTTTGCCCCCAAGGTTCTCACTTCCCCTCATGCCGGGGGCAGGGAGCAGCCGGAATCAACAGCCGAGAGGCATCGCGACTCTCCCTGGAGCAGGGGAGACCCTGACAATGTGTTGACACTGTGGACGATGGAACACGAGTAGCCAGTTCGAGATTGTCTCCATATGGTGAGGCTCATGATCGGGTGATACCACGCGGCTTGATACTGTCCGACATGCATATGATCGACCTCGAGAGGACACAGGGTTTCCGTTGAATAGGACTGACCAGGTCCAGCTGATCAGAAAAGAATTTAGAGAACAACTCAACGATATAAAAGAGGCTCAGCTCTGAGAGAAATCGGAGGTCAACAGAATTTATACTCGAATTCACATGTGACTCTCTGATTGGTCCGTGACTTCTCCATTTTGTTTCTGCTTCTCCAGATTTGTTTCTTCGTTCGACTCAACAGGCCAACTCCCGACAATCCTCGGGGACATCCAGTCATGTCCAAAGCAACTTTGGCTGTCATCGCTGCCGCCAGTGCCGCCACCGGTGCCGGTGTCACCGCGCTGCTCTACGGCAAACCCAGACAACAGCAGCAGCAACAACAAATCCCTCCCACCCCAACGACAGCCGGTATCGCAGCTCCCTCAGCTATCCCGGCACCAGCACTGGCCGCCAAAGCAGTCCTTGGCCCCGTCAACCCCTCCGGAATCATGCAATATGGCTTCCCAGGCCCAGTCGCCGACGAGATCTCCAACCTCGTTCTGCACGGCGCCTTCGACCGTCGCACGCGCAACCCCTCCTGGGTCGCCGAACACATCACGCCTGAGTCCCTGGCACTGAACAATGCCGACCGCAAGCACAGCATATTCACTGAGGACACGCACATCCCGGCTATGTTCCGCGCCAAGCTGGCAGACTACTTCCGCTCCGGCTATGACCGTGGCCACCAGGTTCCTGCTGCAGACGCGAAATGGTCTCAGCAGGCTATGGATGACACTTTCTCTCTGAGCAACATGTGCCCCCAGGTTGGCGAGGGCTTCAACCGCGATTACTGGGCGCACTTCGAGACCTTCTGCCGTGACCTCGCGAAGAAGTACCCGTCTGTTCGCATCGTTACTGGCCCTCTGTATCTCCCCCACAAGGACCCCGATGGAAAGTGGCGCGTCAACTATGAGGTTATTGGTAACCCGCCCAACGTTGCTGTGCCCACCCACTTCTACAAGGTTATCTACGCTGAGGATGGCACCAATTCGCCCACCAGCAAGGTTTCCCTGGGTGCCTTCGTGTTGCCCAATGCCCGCATTGCGAACGATAAGCGCCTGACTGACTTCGAGGTCCCTATTGAGGCCATAGAGCGTGCCTCTGGGCTTGAGTTCGCGTCTAGCCTGGATCTCAGCCGTCGCCGTCGTCTGTGTCAGGAGGTTGCTTGCCAGGTCACTGTGCGCGAGTTCAACAATGCCAAGAAGCGCAACTAAGGGAAGTGCCAAATCCACTCGGGTGGCTTCGAACTGTATATCTAGAACATTGTAATTGCATGGTTCGGGCGTTAATAACCGCTCCGGGCGGTAATATCAGTATATTTTATCTACACACAATTGAAAATCGTGTGTTTCCTACTCGTCACTTTCACTTCTCTTCCATGCTCAACACTGGAAGGCAATCCCGCTCTTCTTTCCCATATTCCCTCCCTTACCGGCAAAGCCAGTTCCCTCGGAACTAACCTCTACCAGGCCGGGCTGGATGGCATCCTTTTCCTTATCCTTCTTCTTGGACTTCTTGCTCCCACTGCCATCATCTTTCTTTGAAGGCGGACGTGCTGTAAGATCCGTCTCACATACATAACATAAAACCTGACCATGTAGAGCAGCAGCAGCTTCCTGCTCCTCCTTGGAGGCATGAGGGTCGGGGGTATGGTGTTCATGAGGCGTCATGAACTTCTTAACACATGGAGAGCAGATGACATGACCGCAGGGTTTCGTGACTGTCCGAAAGTAAAGATTAGCTCAATGTGACCACCCAGTACCAATTGGATCACACATACGCATCGCCTTGAGCCCATTGCTCAAGTTCTTCTTGCAGCTAGGACAAACCCTCGAAACAGTCCCATCAGACGCCTTCTCCTCAGTGAAATGAACCTCAACAAGCGACTTAAGTGAATAGCTATGCCGACTCTCATCCGTCGACCCGGGACAAATAGGCGTCAACTTGACCGTCTTGTTCGCAGCAATCTCATTCGCATCCGTGCCAGGCGTAAGCGAGGGAACCCAGAAAGAAGGCAAAGCAGATTTGCTAGATTCAGACTGCAAACACACACACAGCAAGATTAGCAAAAAGAAAGATCCAACTTCACTTCCACCTCACCAGCACCGAAACCACAAACATACCTTCTCCATCTTCAACTCGTTCTTCAACCGCTCTCTCTCCTCCCCAGCAACCCTAGCCATCTCCTTCTCATCCAACTCAAAAACTCTTTTCCTCTTCCCATCAACAACAACCTCTCGAGCCTTAAACTTCTTCAAAGCCTCACTCTCCTCCGCCTTCCTCTTCGTCCCCGCACCATTGGAACCAAAAATATCCGCCTTAGCCTCAAGCCCCA